GCTTGTATACTTAAGTTGTTAGTTGCTCTTTCAAGAAAAAGCAAAAGGGGAAAAGACAGTCAAATGTTGTTTGAGACCACAAAATTTCTAGGGCTGCCTTGTATTCTTAGTGATTGGGATGTCTGTTTAGACTCATTATCCTTGGTTTTGTGTACATTGAGAATAAATTTTAGAGATAGTCCAACGTGTATCTGCCAAGTTTTTGCTGCAGGTGGCAGTTGACAAGGTCTCTGGTTTAATCAAGCAGTGCCGGTGATTTGGCATTTCTTGACTTTGGAGTACAGTATATGAAGTGGTTGAAATCCGATGCTGGATGCCTGGTAGGTAATATGCAAAATATTGTTCAAAAGTTACGTATGTAACATTAGCAGCATTTTGCATGAGTAAATGCCAGTGGTGGTTCCTTATTTCAAAAAACATTTGAGAACTATGCCAAAATTTCTTGGTGACCGAACTCACTCTTCAGTACTAGATAGCACCTTGCTACTTTGCCACTTCTCCAGAACAGTATTTAACCCAGCCGTATCCTGTCTTGCTACTGGCAAATCTCTGAATTACTGACTTGCCGCTATAATTAGCTTACTGTATTAAGCCAGGGCCAGTTCTTTTAGTCTAATTCTAGAGTGATTCTGTTATGAAGTAGACAAATGTCCAAAGCCACTAGTGCCTAGGAATCCCTGATGTTGTAAGGCTTTTAGGTACGATACTTGCCAGTGTTACCAGACTGGAACCTACAAAGCCCACCTTAAAATAGGAAGTAGTCACCTGGTCCTGGCAGTACTATCCAACAGTTTTGACAAGAGGAGTTCTTCACATGAGACACATTTATGTTATCCCTCAGATAGCTGATAGTAAATGATGAAACGCTTCCATGAGTTCCAGTGAGAAAACTTTCTGGTAAACATCAGGCTTGGAGTAATCTGCTGGTCAAGCCTACCACTTGGACATGATGTGTTAAAAGCAGAATGACTTGTAGAATGCTTTTGAGAAACACTTTATTTTTTGAATCTATGTTTGCTATTGAAGCTAGTTTATATGGAAATGGAGAGATCTAACAAATAACACTATTGCACAGTCTAGTAGTTACATAATGCTAAAGGTGTCTACTAGATTTGTGGCTGTCATAATTGCTTTTCTCGCTTGTCAGGATGTACGTGTTTTTATTTAGCCATTTGATTCTTAATAAAATGCGCACATTAGTCAAGTCACTGGAACATCCTGCAAACAAAGACATTTTTTCTTCCCTGAACAGAATATGGAAAATTATTATGTCAAAGTTTAGAGTCTTTATCAGTGTAGTTGAGTGACACCTTTCAGATTCTCTGTGGAGTTAAATTTTTTATCTACTACCCTCAGTTTAACATTATAAATACCTGAGATTGGTCATCACGGAACCTTTTTCCCTAGGCTGTCATTAATGTTGGTGAATTAAGATACTGACCTTGATGTCCGTTCTTCAAGGTTTTTGAGGGCTTTGATCTACCTAACTGTATGTAGTGGGCACTTTTTTAATTGTGTATCCACCGTTGCTTTAATTCGTTGCCTCAGCATCTGAGGAACCAAACCTTGGTACTTTCTTTGAGCACAGGTTTCATCCTACATTATTATTATGCCAGTGTATAGTGCCAACAAACTTTTACTTTCTTCAAAAATAAGGACCATTCTCTCTGTCTATTCTCAAAATAATTTATTTGGAGCTTTGTCTACAAAGGTACGATGGATTTGTATTGCAGTTTTTCAGCATAATGTGCAGATATAAAAGGTAATTTTAAATAAATTGGTTTGAATATCTCCAGTAGCCTAGCTGTGGCAGCTCAGTGTTGTGCAACCCTGATTTATCTTGCTTCTTAGGAGAGTAAACTTTTGTTCTCTTGCAGCTAGATTGCTTCCATTCCTATGCCACCTCACTTAACCCTGGCTTCCATATATCTGTATTACAAGTTGTACCTTGTGAACAGTTCTATGTATGTTCTCTTTTACAAAATGAAACCTAGATGCTATGAAAAGCTTGGGCTGGGACTTGCTAAGTCTTCTTTTCTAACCTTGTTCTAATACAGATATTCTCAAATCATGGTTTTGACATTACATAAAATTGTCTTTTTCTTTGCAAAACTGATGCATGTGGTGTGAGGCAGGTGGTTAGTCCATTGTGTAGGGCAATCTGTGTCAAAC